TCCTCGATCATCTTCCTGCGAAGCTGCTCCCCCGAACTCGAGTCACCGCACACGCACCACCGCACACACACACACACACACACACACACACAACCAGCGCACACGCGGCACACACTACCGCACAGGCGAGTTACCAGCGATGAGACACTCGTAGAGATTGAAGGTCATGAGAGGCTCGGGCTTGAGCTCGCGAAAGTAGAGTTTGAGCAGCCCCGCCACCGTGTGCGCCGACTTGGCGGCCATCGCCGTCAGGTCCACAGACTTGCCTGCACAACGATCAACATTATTGGGTGATCACTTTGCGTAATCGCACACGCGTGCGACACACACACCGGTGCACCGCACGCAACGAAAAGGGAGCGCCGCAGGTCCGTACCCTTGTTGATATCGCGGTGGGCGTTGGTCATGTCCTCCTTGCTACCCGACATACGGTACAGACCTTCCTCCGACACTGTGCGACAATAAAAATTAAAAATAAACAAATTAAACATACAAGAAAATGAGATGGTTATTTTATTTTATAAATGACTTATATATAAATGAATGAACTGTGTTTGGGGAGGGGGGGGGGTTACCGCATGTTTCGAGTACGTCGAGGCAGTCGACCAGGAACTGCTGCCCGCGCGGGTCCTCAATGGTGCCACCGAAGACCGGCGCTACCTTGCTCCCGCTCCTGAAAATGCCTGACATGAACGAACTAACGAACTTGTGCCTAAACGCGTTCTTCCCTCGAGGTGTGAGCTCCCACCTTCGCTTTCGTTCTTTGCGCACAAATTGAACTCGGTCGTGATTCGTTCTTTAGAAGATGAGTTCTTTTTTTGTCGACTAAAAAGAAAACACTTTTCTTTTGCTGCTTTCTTTTTGTTCTCTTTCTTTCTTCTTGAGCTGGACGTGTCGGTACCATCACCGTGCAGGTGGTTCCGATGTCAATGTGATGTAGGAGGCCTGGTTCACCAGAACAGATGTTCCTCGATTTCTGCGATACGGTCCTCGAAGGCGTCCCGTGTCCGCTGGACCTCGGCTTGAAATGCCGCCCGGGTGCGCTGGGCCTCAGCTTGGAAGGCGGCCCGAGTGCGCTGGGCCTCGGCCTCGTAGGCGGCTTTGGTGCGCTGGGCCTCGGCTTCGACGGCGGCCAGCCGGGCGGCCAAGTCGGCGTTGCGTCGGGTGAGCTTCCGCACGCTCTCCTTGAGCTCCCTGATGCGCGGGCCGACGGCGTTGAGCTCCGCTTCCACGGCCGCCTCATCGTCGGCCAGCACCATGGTCCAGTGTCCCTGGCACTCCACGACTTCGATCGCTTCGAGCTGTTTGTAGATGAGAAGCGTGGCGAAGGCGTCGGTGGCGGCGTACGAGAGCTGTCCGGGGGTGAGCTGGTCGCTCCCCCAGTTGCTGCGCGCCTTGCCCTTGGCTACGTGCTTGCCGAGGAGGTCCTGCGCCAGCGACTGCAGACCCAGGCGGGTGTAGCTGAGCCTGCGCGCCATCGTAGCGACGTCGAGCAACCCTCGCGGGATGAGAAAGAACTGAGAGTGCAGCTTTCTCAGATCGTTGGTCACAGCGAGCCCCACCTGCACCATGAACAGATCAATCAAATGATTGATGAATCGATTCATCAATCAAATGTGCGAACAAGGGAATTTCGTACCTTCAAGTGCTTGTCGAGAAGCTCTTCGAGAGCTGGGGGCATGCTACCGAGTTGCAGCATGTAGAAGATGAGGCACACATCCTCACTGGCGTAGAGCCAAGATTTCGGGGCGTGACCAAGTCGGACCCGATGTGAGGGCCGACCTGGTGGATACCAGGACGATCTTCGCGTCTGTCGTCGTTAGAGTCTACTTCGGCGCGAGTACTCATCTGGCACACGACACCTAATCGGACTCAGGCGGAAATGTCGAGGTACTTTGTCGGACGCTGTTTGTAAAAGCCCTACTAAACCAGACAATAACTGAGCAGAAACCTTAGGAGTTGCGTGCCTCGAATGTGCAGAAGATCAGTGCGAGAAAGTTGCGAGCAATCCTTCAACAAGCGAAGGCGCGTCTCGTTGGGTTTTCAGGGCTGAGACTACCGACCATGACGTGAGAACGCATTCCGGTGGGCATCTTGTTGAAAAGGGCTTTCGGGCTTATGCGACTTTGCGCCTTGTCGGGCCGAGCTCATGGCCTCGACCACACACCTCACCCAACACAACCATCATACTCTCAACACACACAAACAACTACCACTACAACAATGGCCTTCCAACGCTCGACCCTGCTGGCACTGCTTGTGCTGGTCGTCGCCGCACTCTTCGCACACGCACAAGAAGTCGACTTGACATCGGCGGCTGGCGACACCAGCCTACCTGTCCGGGCAGAAGACGAACCGACCGCGGCGGTGGCCAACTGCGCTCTCGCCATCAACTGCGGCCAGTGCAAGGTATGCGGCGGGTTGCGCTCCGATGGGGCGCGGTGATCTCACATGCGCACCTGTGATTGACAACATAGAGCTCCAGTTGCGGATGGTGCGGCGATAGCGATAGCAAGGGCTACTGCGAGAACTGCACCGAGAAGGACTGCAAGAAGCCGGACTCCTGCAACTACAAATACTACACCCACAATATCTGCCCCAGCGTACGTCTCAGCCCGGACCCACGCGCCATCTCTATCTCCATCTAGAACAGTGCTGATCAACACCTGCTGCGTACAGGAGATCGACGACGTGCTGCTGGGCGTAGGCGCCATCATCGGCATCGTGGTGGGCGGTGTGGTCGGCCTGTGCTGCCTGGGTGCCGCCTGCCTGGGACTCATCTACTGCCTCTGCTGCCGTCGCCACGGCTATCACCACCTCTAAGGAGCTTTCCCTTCGTCATTCTTTTGAATTCGAAAAAATCTAAAATAATCTCAAACTTGCACCTGTCACTCAGCCAATCACACCCTGTCGCACTCCTTCTTACACTTGCGGTCCTCAGGGCACGGCTCGCCGGCCTTGAGGTATTCGCCGAGCCGGTCGGGCAGGACGCCCTGTCCATCGGCGTACTTGACGCCGGCCTCGGTCGCGATCGGGTAGCAGCCGTGGCCGTCCGGGTAGAAGAACGTGTGGGCGATCTTACGCGGGCAGCACCCGTTCCGATCTTGCCACTGGCCGTTGGCACACTGACCGCTCCCCGAGCTGGCCGTGGTAGTCCTGTGGGCCTCGGTGGTGGTGCACGGCGGCTTCTCGTGGTCGGGCGTAGTGGTGCAGGGATGCTCCGCGGTGGTGGTCGAGTCCCTGTGAGGGTGGCACACCTTGAAGCACTTCCAGTAGTAGTCGGCTTCAACCTCTTTCTGATCACGTTCATCACAGCACCGACCTTCACCCGAGATCTGCTGTTCGAGGCCCTCCGCAGCTGAGCAGAGTCAAGGAGTCAGCGGATCGACCCTAACTGTTCTCGGAGGAGTGGATGGTACCGTGCGCAACGAGAGCGAGAGCAAGGAGACCGAGCAAGAGGAGTGTGATGTCCACAGTGTACAGCTTCATGGTGCGAATGAGTGGTGAGGTTGCGTTGAGGAGGATGGAGGGAGGGGCGCCAACCCTTTTTGTATAGGCGAGGTGGTGCTTCGTTCTCCAATCCCTGTGTGGAGCGCAACGCCACCGTGACACGGTTCGCGAGGTCACAAGGGCACCACTTAGAAGGCTTAGTCGACTCCACCTCCACAAGGCAAGTGGCCGGACTGGTTTGTGACTTCTCCCCGTCATTGTGCCGGTGACCCACCTTGTGTGACCTGTAACCCACTCCTGGTGGGGCAAAAAGAAATCAAACAGGAAAAACAGACAAGAATTCGGGCATTGGCGGATTACTGCGACGCCCTCAAACGGAGGGGGTGATGCCGGAGCTGATGGCGCTGGTCTTCAACTACGTTGACCCTCTCACCCGGCCCTGCTGTCGCGCTGTGTCTCGCCACTGGAGCGCCATCTTCGACCTCTGCAGGGAGGTAACGGGGTGGCCACAAGACGTCGACCGCACCGCCACGAGCACCAGCTCCCCACCATCTTCTAGACGAGCAGTTCTGCGCCCGGTTGGCCGCTGAGGGCCGGCTCGCCGTGCTCGAGTGGGCTCGCACCAACGGGTGCCCGTGGGACTACCGCACCTGTGCCTCGGCCGCCCGGCGTGGCGACCTCGCCTTGCTCCAGCGCCTCCGCGCCGACGGATGTCCGTGGGACAAGTCCACCACCTCTGCCGCGGCCGCTGCGGGCCAGCTCGACGTGCTCAAGTGGGCACTGGCCAACGGGTGTCTCCTCGCCGAGCCCATGATCTGCAACGAGACCGCAGCGGCAGGCCAACTGGCGGTGCTCCAGCACCTGCGCGCCATCGGTCGGTTGCCCGTGGAGCAAGTGGACCTGCGCCAAGGCCGCCCAGGGTGGCCACCTCGAGCTTCTGCAGTGGGCGCGGGCCAACGGGTGTCCGTGGGACCAGATGACGTGCGCGCTGGCGGCTGAGGGCGGTCACATGGAAGTTCTGCAGTGGGCGCGCGACAACGGGTGCCAGTAGGACCGGGGCACCTGCCTGCGTGCGGCCGGCGGCGGCCAGTTAGAGGTGCTCCAGTGGGCGCGGGCCGGCGGCTGTGCGTGAGACGAATGGGCGCCAGCGCTGGCGGCCGGCGGCGGCCACCTTGAGGTCCTACAGTGGCTCCACGCCAATGGCTGCCCGTGGGACGCCAAAACCTGTGCATCGGCGGCCGAGGGGGGGCCACCTGGACATACTTCAGTGGGCGCGGGCCAACGGGTGTCTGTGGGACGAGAAGACGTGCGCCAGTGCGGCCGATCAGGGCCAGCTGGAGGTGCTCCGTGGGCGAGCGCCAACGGGTGTCCGTGGGGCCGCCAGACGTGGGCCAACATGATCAAGCGAGGCGACGCCGACATGGTTCGGTGGGCGCGCGACCATAGTGGCCAGCCGTGGGATGCCCAGGCATCGTGTGCCGCGGCCGCGCGGGGAGATCTAGGCCTGCTGGAGGCGTACGCCGAAAACGGGCCGTGGGACGAGGAGATCTGTTTGGCCGCGACGAGAGGAGGTCATCTCGAGGTGGTCCAGTGGCTGCGGGCCAAGGGCTGCCCCTGGAGCCCCCACACGTGTACCCACGCTGCGCTGAAAGGGCACCTGGAGGTGGTGAAGTGGGCTCGCGCCAACGGCTGTCCATGGCGCGCCGACACCATTCGGCTGACCAGGCGGCGCCAAAGGGTGCTGGCCTGGGCCGCTGAGAACGGGCTTGCTCTGGATGCGTGATTGGCATGTGAAGTTTTATGGTGTAAAAAACAACAAATCAGAATGCAGCAAAGGTGTGAAGAGAGCCGAGCTTGCCCATCTTGCAGAGAGCAGAGGCCACACGCGAGAGAAGGGCGTGTGGCGCTACGGTTCTCGGCGAGCGCATTAGTCGCAGGCAGGGACGCACTGGCGACCAGCGGGACAAGCCATGCCGGCCGGGTTGTACACGCCGGCCTCGTTGGGGTAACATCCGCTCGCGTCGGCGTAGAGCACGCCCACATTGGTCGCGATCGGGTAGCACCCGCGCACGTCGCGGTAGAACAGCGACATGCCAAAGGCACGCGGGCAGCAGCCCGCCGGATCCCTCTGCGCGTTGGCCGGGCACGCCGCTGTTGTGTTGTGTTGTGCATGCATCGCACATTGTGCGGTGGTGAGAACGGTTGGTGGTGGTGGTGGTGGTGGGGGGGAGCGAGGCTGAGCTGAGGTGTTGGTTCGTACGGCGAGTGGGCTGAGGAGTGGCGACGACGGTGGGCAGACACGTGGGCGAGCACTGCTGGCCAGGGGGGCAAGTGGCACCCGCCGGCCTGTAAGTGCCCTGCGCGTTGGGGAAGCACCTGATCGATGCGTTCACAACAGAGGTCAGCCAGCAACCGAAAAAGATGAGCAATGTGTGTGTGTGGAATGGGTGTGGCGGCTCAATGCATGTACCCTCCGACGTCGGCGTAGAGGACCTGGTTGTTGGCCACGCGGGTCGGGTAGCACCCGCGAGCATCGCGGTAGAAGTTGATCATGTTGATCATCGTCGGGCAGCAGTTGCCGGCGTCGGGGAAGGCCCCGCCGAGGCACGGGCCAGAGGGCGGCGACTGGGCAAAGGCGCACATGATGCCAACGACGGCGGCGAGAGCCATGGCGAGCCAGGTCGGAAAGTAAGCCATTTCTTGATGTTGCTGGTTGATGCTTGCTGGAGGGTTGGTTGGTTGGAGAGTGAATGGATGAAAGAGAGGGGAGGTATAAATGGTAAGGAGTGGCCAATCAGCTACTCGGTCTTGTCCCCAATCCAGGCCTATCGGCACCTGATGACATTTCGCGAGCAAGGACATGCGAGGCTTGGTCTGAGTGTACACTCAGCTCGCGAGGTTCTTGAGCTCTGAAAGCCCCCCTTACGCCAGTGTTTTAATGCTAGTGGACCCCAAACCCAATTGAGGACCATCAACACGACCCAGACGACGCGAAAAGCCAGACAAGTCGGTGAACGCTCGGGGGTGGATGGGTAGTCTTCGAGTCCCGTCGCATACAATACACAAATTAATAAACTTTGTGTGTGGTGCACCCACAGTTCATGACGACGCAGCAGAATCAGAAGAGGACGTGACGGCGAGGTTGGCATCGGTGATGCTGAGGAGGGTGCGCTGGTCGAGCCCGCAGTCGGAAGCGTGCGCGAGAAGTCAGACAGCACGCGCCGCGGGAAGTCGCACACAAACACAAAGTCGAGTTTGGCCGTCCTGTCCACACCAGGAAAAACACGTGTTGTCCGACACACGTCATGCGTGTGCGTGTGCGTGTGCGCGCGTGCGTGTGGTGGTCACTGTACCTGTCCCGTTCGAGTAGCTGGAGGGTGGCATACTGCCTGACCTCGTCCAGCAGCTCGTCGGCGTAGAAGATGCGCTGCGGCAGCCGCTCGCCGTTGGCCATCCGCAAGACCAGCGCCACCTCGCGCCTCCCGGCCGCACTCCTCGTCTGCTGCTGCTGGTCCTTCGTGTCGAACTGGTGCTTGAGCTCGGCGTACATGCGCTCGCGGTCCCGCTCCCGCGTTTCGGCCTCGCGCCGCTGGCGCTCCTCGTCAGCCCGCGCGTGCTCCTCCGCTTCGCGCGCTCGGCGCTCCTCGGCCGCCTTGGCCTCTTCAATCACCTGGTCGCGCAGGAGGCTCT